ACAAAGCGTTCTTAAGCGAATGAAATATGTTGAATAAAACATCATCTGGCTGAAAATGTCCCTTACATAATCTGTGTCCCTTTTTGGTCATCGTTAGTTTCCATGAATGGTCGGATGCGCGACTCGCTTTAAATGTTGCGGCCGAAAGGAACTGTGGGAGGGCATATCTCATCTCCTTTGGTAAAGGATGGTCCAGTGTATCCTATGCTAAAGGAGATTATAAAGGAAGCACTCACACACTTGTCTTTAACTTTTAGAGAATTTGAATGACCCTTATCATGGCTACCACTTAAATGTGTCCAGGTCATTTCACTCAGTTAGGAACCTTCCTAAGCAAAAAAGACAATTTGAATGCACTCTGTTGGTCTTTTAAAAACCAATGCAGTTCAGTGGTTTCAGCCAGTCAAATGAGACTGTTGGTATCGAAGAAGTTTGCCCACATTCATCTTGTAACGACAGTGTCCAATTCGCTTTTCTCTCTCATTATGTCAAATTTATCCATTCAAAGAAACAGTGATTTACTGTTTAGAAAATAAACCTCATGGTACGTCGATAGCAATTAGGTCCCCGCCCCATATACAGAGATTATAGACACAAAGCAGGGGCCCTGGGTTTAGCTCTCACCCTCTGCCCCTTTCTCAAATCCTTCCCCACTCTTTCTCCCTGATTTCTTAATCTATCCACTGTCCTGTCCTGGACAAACAAAAACTTAAATAAACCATGTGAAGTGTTGGTTTGTTTGAAAAGATAACTAAATACATGACAACAAGTTACCAGTTGAGCTGAGCGGCACATCTTAAGGGGATTTGGACTCATGAAGTGGGTCCATACAGATAAAAGTAGTTTGCCTTTTTCGTCAATGTCACTTTTGACTCAGTGACCAATAAAAATCAAAATGCCGTGGGACTTCTGACATCATCTTTATCAACAGCAAAAACTATTATTTTCCTTGCAAAGTTTACCTCATGCATCCAGACTCGTTTTTAAAGGGTTCAATTTGCAGGTCTAGAGCTGATATGACAGGACACACTTCCTTTCCATTGTTTTCACGTTTTGTTTGTTTGGAGACAGAAAGTGATGGTCTAAAAGTCTCTGAAGTTAAACTGTCAGTCAGTGGACTAATCATCATTTTATTTTTGTATTTCTTTATCCAGACTGGTTGATTACTAATCAGTCTGTTTAACATTTCTATCTCCTTTTATGTGCTATTTTATACTTCAGCTCTTTTGTTTAATTTGTTGTCTGTACGTCACGGTGTCTCTATTTATGTATTTCTATGTACAAGCCGCTCCAAACAACTGCCCCAGAGGGATTAATAAAAGTACTTCAGTTGAATTTAATTGAGTTGTTTAAAGCAGGGGGTCTGGTAACACTCCTAATGCTGGTCTCTGAATAAACTCAACAATTAGATCTCAAGATGCAAGCCTTCCTCAGGTGCAAAAACGGATAGAAAAAAAAAGGTTGCTTTCCAAATATACCTGACTTTAGGAAAACAATTAGCAGACAATGATTTGATGCAAGCAAAACTGACAGTATGACCAGATAGCAGATATAATTGGCATTATACATCTTGTAGTGCACTTTCTTAAAACACAAAAAAAATTGAGGCCTTCACCAATTTACTGGAAAACACAAACTGGTTTACAAAACTTTGAATACTGAATGATTGGACCGCTAGTTTCTCTTAATTTTAGATTTGATCCACAAAAATAGATTCACTCAATGAGTGTTGCTAGATTAACAACCAAGTCATTTTTTTTAAGAAAAATGACTTTTTTCAATGTCTTTAATTTTGTTCTCCAAGCAGTGAGCCTAATTATGTGGAGCTTTTGCAACCTGCTGCTGGATCTGTCATTCTGTCATAGGATCCCTTTCTGAGAGTTCCTGTATGTGACCAAAGTCCGGGGCTTGAGAGTTTTGACAGTTATAACTCTGAAGTCAGTCGTTGTTTCTGTCTGTTCTGTGAAGAGGGAACATAATATGTGAGAAGTATGATTCTGATGCAGCTTTAACAGGCAGATTCATACTCCTCAGTCCTTACTACATTACAGACATATTAGGAATAATAAAGTTTAATGTATGTAATTGAAGAATGAAAAAGGGCCGAAAATGTAGGACCTGAAAAATGCTTTACATCATATCTCTAAGGTGATTCAAAATCCCTTATCAGAAGACCGAGTGTTAAACCAATGAAAAGTCCAGCTTGTCATTATGATCAACTGTGACAGATCAGGGTTAAAGCCTCTTTTTAAGTGCTTAAATGCTGCGTCATTCATATGTCTGTTATGCTGAAGAGAATAAGCATGTGCTGAGGTTTTTTTTCTTTCACGCAACAATGAGCACATTCAGTTCGAACTCTGAAGTGAGAGACACAAAGTGAATAAAAACACAGAGATATACAGGAGGAGGAGATTATAAGAGAAAAGAGATAGCAGGAAGAAGATAAAGGGATAAAAGATGCTCAGAGAGAGACAGAGATAGAAAGAGAGATGTAGATGAAGCCAGAAGGTGGAGGAGGAGTAGAGAGGAGTTAAGTTGGCCATTAGCGATGCGGCGTGTGGAGCCCACTCTTACATGCGTTCCACAAGGTTAACGATAAGAGCCCCACAGCATCTGAAATGCTCAAGTAGCTTTTATCGTATCATAATAATGAATCAAAGATAAAATAAAATAAATGAACTCCAAAAGACGAGCAAGTAAAATAAAACGTATGTGCAAAGGGCCGGCTGACCAGGCAGCAACCCAAACAGAAAGGAGAGAGAAAGGAAAAGTAGAAAGACAGAGAGAGGGGGAAAAAAAGGGATAAAGATCTTGCTCCATTTTCTGCTAATATCTTCTTATGTCATCTGGTTGAAAAATATTTGCCTGCAGGTCAGGGCTCCCCCTGTTAGAAAAAGGCTTCTTAAAACGCTTCACGGCTCTCTGCTACATTAAATATCTGGCCTCTGCATCCCATTTACTGCTGCTGGCTATTAGGTAGAGAGAGAGAGAGAGAGAGAGAGAGAGAGAGAGAGAGAGAGAGAGAGAGAGGAATAGGGAGATATTTGAGGGAATAAAGAGGGGGCAAAGAAGAATGGGGGAAGGTTAGAAAGACAAAACAGGAAGGAGGGATGGTTAAGAAGAGCAAAGGGTAAATATTCAAAACGTAACAGGTAAAGTAAGAAGAAGAGGTAATAAACTCATTCTTTTCAATGTTTCGCTATGTCTAACATCAGTGTGTATGCGTCTGTACGAGTGTGTGTGTGTTTAGTGCCCTTGGCAAGAGAAGGAGATCAGACCATTCAGAATGGACAGTAGTTAGCCACCTACCGCAGCAAGCTGTTACCACTTCTTCCTTCCTCCCCCCTCTCTTCTCCTCCTGCCCACTCTTTGCACCTCACTTCTCTCTTTCCTTTTCCTTTACAGTAAAGACAGTTAAAATATAGAACACTTCCAATGTTAAAAACACCTAGAATTGACCTGAGTTCATGTTTTAATGCTTTACATTACTGGACAGATTAGCATATAAACAGGCTTTATGTTGAAATCTAAACCTCGCTCTAGTATGCAGCCTTTAGCAAGCCACTAAAATAGATTACTTTTGCACATGGTCAAGGAAACAAAAAATAAAAATAACTATTGTGTTATTTGTTGGGCAAAGGGTTAGTTGTTTTTTATTTGATATATTGACAACAGTTTTCTATTAAGTTTCAGCGATGGGATGAATAGCTAATTAGTTTGTCTCAGACAAGTGTTCAGAACTTGCGCCTCTGTAGGGTCATACTGGAAGAGGGAGCTTTTGTTGTGTTCTGTTGTGGACAGTGGCAGACCCCTTATGGGATTCTTTTACTCTTGACCTTTCATGGACTTTCTTAAGCGCTATTAATTATGCTTGGTGTTTTTGCGCTTTGACTGTCTGAAAGAAGTAAATTATCTCCCTGATATTGCCTACCAGGTGTGCTTCATATTAAACTGAAAACTAATGCCGTAATGTGACTATGGGCACACAGTCCATGAGGTGGAGCTGCCACCTCTCTCTTGCTATTGCTCTCTAGTCCAGCCATGGATGTGAAACATTAAGTTACTTCATCATTACTGTCATTCAAACAAAACAAAGCACTGTATTAAAACAACCCATGACTCTGTGTTGCTTATAGGGTACCATCCATGATTCAGGAAACGTAGTCCGAATAACACAACCATTAGTTGAAAGGCTTGCCAAACGTCAAAACGATGTGAGACAAGCTTTTACAACTTTTGAAAGTGATTATGGTGGCAGTAATTTAACCTTTCAACAAAGCGGTCATCATTGCATAAGAAATCTAAGCATCTTTTAGGTATTTGAATTGCCGCTTTAAAGGCATTTCCTTTTGTTGGATCATTGAGTCAAAGCTTTTGCCATGATATTATGTGTCTGAATGAGTTAGAGTTTAAGTTACAGGGATGTTATAAACATTATCTTGTGAAGCAGTGCATTGCTGAAATATTCTTAAAGAGGACATATTATCCCCCTTTTCTACCTTTTCAAACAGTCCCCTGTGCTCTAAATGAAACATCTGTGCTGTGCTTTGGTCAAAATAAAACATGAATCAAGCACCAGAGGAGGTTTGTGACCCTGTACAAACCAGCTCTCTCACGATGCTTCCGTTTTGGTGTGTGTGTCTCTTTAAATGCAATGAGCCCCCCTGAGTTTTCCTGGTAGACATCACTCCTTTACTAGCAAGAATAAAAATAGCGGACCTACACAAACGTTTTGCTCTAGGCTTGGGGTGCTAGGGGAGGGGAGTTTTTTTTTTTTAACAGAATCCCACTGTGACATCACAAGGAGAGCAAATTTGAAACAGAGCACTTCTCTCTGTGGGATGGGTTTATTTCACATTTTGTTGGTCAGTAGACACTCAGGTTACCCAAATATATGTTCAAAAACACTATAAAAGTGGATCTTCCGCTTTAAGTAAATTCGGTTGACGTTCTGTTTGGTACCACTCTTATAAAGAAAAATCAGAGACAGAGGACAGGGGTCAAAACTGGAAGCCTGGTTTTAATTGATATTGCTCTACTGTAATAATCCTGAAAGGCATAGTCTGGAGTAACACATGTAATGTTTCAACCCATAGTAGTTTAAGTTACAGAATCATAGGTCTCTCTTTTTGCATTGAACAATATATACAATGTGAAATAAATACATTTACACAAATGGACATTATTGTTGGAGCACACTTGTATGATACACGTCACAAAAATATACAGGTTATTGTTTCTTTTTTTTTCATTTACTGATGTGAAGCACATCTAAAATCTACTGACATGTTTTAATAACACTACAGGGTCTTGTACACAACTCTTCTCCACCACAAAAGGGTCCTCTCCTCTTTAAATAGCCTTTGTATCCAAATGCATCAATTGTCTCTCTTCAATATTTTCACATTTGCAAAACCAGTCTGCAGGGTTCGCTGCAGCACATGTGGCAGTTAACATTTGGGGATTAAATACAACTAAATGACTAAACACTGTAGAGCTGGAGTTGGACTTGGCCTTAACAGATATCAGGGGTAGATGGAGGTTCCCACTTTCCCGCTATGCCAAATAAAACTTGTCCTCCTGTTACAGCTGAACTATTATTACACAGACTATTTGCAGGTTAATGGATCTAAGTCCCAGATGAGGGCAATTACATGGTGCCCAAAGTGCAACCAGGTCAAACTTTTTCTATCAAAGCATTGGCAAAAACCCCCGAAAGTCCTTCTTTTAGCGCTCCTCCAGTTTGGTTTGTTGTCATTTACATGGTTTAAACACTTACTGCAGGGTAGTTCTAATAGCTACAGCAGCATTTGGAAGTATAACCCAACACAAACAAGTGCAACTCTTGTCTCATTGTTGTACAATAAAGAAAATATTGCTTTTTTTACTAGAAAAAAAGTTCAAGGGAACACACTTGAACATCAAATAATATTTTGGCTATGAGCAGCAAGTTTAAAAACCTCTGAATGATTCACATGATCTATTCCTCCTGATTCCTGCTGGTAAATGGGATCCTGTTTTAATCATCTGGAAAGTACACACATTAGTTTGTGCAGCGACTAAAAATTTAACTGTATTCATTTCAAAACATGGCTGTGGACCACATCCTGCTCCGCAAATCTTCAGGGAGTTTCTTTTTAACCATCCTTGATCATGATTCATTGTTCAGGACCACAAAAGTTTGGATGACAACTGTCAAATAAATAAAAACTACATCAGAAGAAAATCAAAAAAGTAAGAAAAGAGCACCTTTCTTCCATTAGTTGTTTGCGGATTAATGTACAGTAGATGATTAGAATGATCACCTTTCTGACAATGACAATGTTTACAATGACTGTAGAGAAATTCAAATCAGTCCTCTGGGAATTCACTTACAAATGTGTCTGTATATTTCCTCTTCGAGTACATAAGAAATGAATGTTGAAAGCCTCTGTAGCACAGAACCTATACATCACTACATATCTATAAAGAGATAAAATGTGTTGAATGACAATTTATTAACAGGCGTCTAAATTTTGGACTTTGTGGTTTTAGTCTGGAGAAAAAGCAGAAACTTGTCCTGTAATGTGGTGTAATAAGTGCAAGATAAAGAGAAACAGCAAGTGCGAACTAAAATGCCTTTTTTTTTTTTTTTTTTTACTTCTTCCCTAAACCCTAAAAAACCATAAGTGCTAGCTTTTACCTCTCTGCTCTCTTTTTACACTTTGAAACATATTCCCGAGGATAAGCTGAAAATCAGGGAAAAGAATCGGCCAAAAAATAATGTTTCATCTTCATTTTTTTTCTGTTATTGACTGCAGAAACAGTAAAGATCATGACTGAGCCGCGCTGTATGGAAGGCAGCTATGTACAGCTAGTTTGTCAAAAAAGAGTCACCAACAGCTCTGAAATACTTAAATGTCCTTTTCATTTAATTGTTACTTAAACCTAAAGATATACAGGATAGTGTTTATTCTACAGGACAGTTACACAAATGATCCCTTTTTAAATACTTGTATTGTGTTTCTTCATTTAGATACTAAATATTTCATTATGTATAGCTTGGTAAAGATGAATACTGTGATTTCATCCTTGTGGTCTAGTTAAGTTTCTAGAAGGAGAGCCTTATATTTGGTTTGGTTCATTGGGAGAGAATCCGGTACCCAGACCCCCAGCAGACTGATCTGATGGACGGACGGACAACATGGCCTCTACTCTACACTGTGTTGACTAAAGAAGAAGCACACAGCACAAGAACGGGAATCACCACAAGAAAAAGTACACAGCAATGCCTCAAAGGAGCAAACATAGGAGGAAAAAAATCCAACAGAGAGAGGACTTCAAAACAAAAACAATCAAATCAAAGAAACAAAGTTTTTTCTTGATAGAAAAAACAGCAAACATGAAACATACATTGAGGCTGAACTACATTTTTTTCTTTTTTTTCTTGATTTTGTTTCCAATAAAATGTCTTATGTTAGAATTATAATCTGTATAATTTACAATATACAATGTTTAAGAAGGCTGAAAGAATACCCCTAACTAATAATACTGATGTGTTGATACAGAGCGTGTGATGTTAGAGATTAACTACACTTAAACTGGAGCACTCCTCAGCTGTGACAAGTTGCCCTTTTACATTAGATTACACCGTCATCTAGATTACACATTTTGTCACTTGTATTCAGCTTTAGAAATGACAAACAATGATATAAAAAAATCCCCTCGACTGTATCTTCTTGTTAAAGCTGTGACCAGTCAAACCTACTGTGTACAATCTTTCTGTTACTGTATGATGTCATACAGTTTCCTCGGACTTGCCACTTCCAGTTTCCACTTTAGTACGACTCAACGGTCAATTTATAATGACTTAAAATGCCTTCAAATGTCCAATTAAAGTCTGTGTGGTTACAATCTAATTAATTGTAGAAACTTAAATTATGTCCATTAAATAGTCTGTTGTTCATTTTAAGTACAACACAAATTTGTATACAGAAAAATAGCCAAGAAACAAATGTAGAAATAACAGTAAAACTGCCTGTAATGGATTCTCCTTGAAAAGATTACATTAGAAATTTGATATTGTTCATTTGATATTTGGTAGAATTATTGTTTTTAACCTTTACAACATTTCCTTTAAAGATTTTTAATGAAATGTCCATCAACAGGAAGTGGAAGAGCAAGCTAACATTTAAGATCTTCGTGTCATGTTTCTTTTTATGCAGATGATGTTCTGTTTTTGCAACCAGATTTAAGCAGGTTATTCTCTAGTCCCTGCATGAGGCCACATGGCTCGAGTAAACTTTGCATTACTGAATAGTTGATTTTCAAGAGGACTGTCTGCTTTCATCAGATAAAACGTGATGGCAAAAAAAGCCTGGTCACAAAAAAGGTGCAAACATCAGAACTCTGTGAAAAATACAAACTGGCTGCTTATTCTTAGTGTTGTAAGCTGTTGTGTTACTTCTTCTACTCTCATTGTCTTTACTCTGACAGTACAATAATATTTCATTCTCAAAATTCTGGTCCATATTTTCCTGTGTAAACTATCACTAACAAAAGGAAATGTTGACTGTTATCTAGTAGCTTATGGCAAGTTACACAGAGGGAAAGTAGCTATGAAACCCTCTTGTCTCTGAAATTTGAAACTGGCACATTATGTTAATTTGCAGACCTAGTCCATATGCACAAACCCCTCCTTTTAAAACTGCTATTGCTCAGTGTTTTCTACGATAAATGCTGAATTTGTTAATACATTTTTACTTGTTATATTTATATATATGGTACTTGCTGAAAGTGGTCAAGCTCATAGAAAAAAGGAAAGACATATTGATTGATTCAGTTTTAAGAAGACAATATTAATAACAAAAACAAAGCCGTGTTATATGTCATATACAGGATGACTTATTTACAACCCTAATACTGGTATTATCATCACTAAAGTTATTTTCAAGATAGAAATAAAGGAGAAAAATAAGTTTCAAAGCAACAACAGTTGTTCTTTTTTTTTCAGCACACCTGTCCTTCTGGTTTTGTATTGCATTGACTCGAGCTCCCTCATTACTCCCTGAATGGATCTCAAAAACATCTCAGTTCTGCCTCAAGAGATGAGCTGGAAGGTGAGAATGCAGCGGAGTAAGGAGGGTCGTTTTGGAAGTGATGCTTTGCAGTTTTGGGAGTTTGGGTAATGAGCATGGGCTGGACTATTCTTCATGGCACCTTTTTGGACAGAAATTTCAACCGATTTATGTGTGGAGAATAGCAACCCTGGGGCTGAAAATGTTTCATACGTCAAAACAAGAGGAGCGTTTGTCAAAATAGATAGCATCACAGAGAATGCAAAGTGAGTCTACAACTCACAGCTGGACAAGCACAGGTCCATTCTTGAAAGTATGGACCAAGTCTTCATTTGCTTGTATTTTTACTTATGAACTGTGTGAATTGTTCACATCTGAAATGACACTATTTGAAAGCATTTTCAGCCACCTCAAGTGTTCAAACACAAATACAATGGTACTGTCAGGTTTGGGAGACCAGGGCCACTGTTTCTTGACAAATACAACAAATACTTAAGCAGTGAAAGTAGGGGAGTCATGGTACACCAGGAAGAGAGTGTTTTCAAGCCTTTCTTTGAGCTGTGCTGATTTTCATTATAACCAGAAAAAAAATCAAATAACTGGACACACTGAAAACCAGCAGCACTCTCGAGGCCCAGCATTGAAAGCGACTCACAGATCAAAGCAGAAACAGTTTTGGGTTATGACAGTAAAGTTTGCTGGCATCCTCTGAATGGATGAGCTCCATTCTTTGGCAGGGAAAATGTCCTCTTCTTTTCTTTCTTTCTGTCCATCCATCTGTATTTCATTCTACATGTAATTTGAAATCAAACATCTTAAATACATCTTTAATGTCCTTTTCTCCCCCTACATATCTTCTTCTTGAACACTAAAAAACTCTGTTGGGAGAAAAGAGAAGGGGAACGGAGACACGAGTGCAGTCTTACAGTCTCTCAGGACTACAATGGAGCGTTTTCAGTTTCTTTTAAATGTGTCCTCAAGCGTTTGTCATTAATGACCTCTTAATCGATATTAAATGCATATTTTTTTTTTACCATCTTCACGGTTCAGAGCCACTGCTGAAACTGTTTCAAAGTTTTCAAGGAAAAATCATCTTTTGTCAGGATTGGTAGTCATGTCAGTCGGTCAAACTCTCCCCCGACAAAAAGTTTAAGTTCCCCCCCTTTTTGTCACAGACGTTGGAGGTTTTGGGGTTCAGGTTAGAGCTTTAGGTCACTGGTTTGTTCACAGAGGGAAGTGTCAGCAGACGTACTTCAGGGGCATATTTATGTGTGTATGTAGGTGTGTGTTTGAGTGTGTGACTGCGCGTGTGTGTGTGTGTGTGTGTGTGTGTGTATGTGTGTGTGTGTGTGTGTAAAAGAGCAAGAGGTCATTCAAAGTGAGAGTTCATGTTGAAGCTCAGCTGGTCAGACTGGCGTCTAGCTCGCGCTTCCTCAGACCTTGGCTTCCAGAAGCTCCAGGAAGAGTTTGTGCATTGGGACTTTGCCGTCCTGCTTGATGCTGTAGAAGTGCTGCACAGCCTTGGTGGAGGTCTGGCGGAGCAGGGGGAGGGTCATGAGCAGCTTGCCCGCCCGGCGGGGATCCTCCTGGTGCTGTGAAGCCTCATAGTCCTGCAGGGCCTCATGGAGCACATCCTGAAGCTTCTGCACTGCATCCACATCTTCAATGTGCATGGAGTCTGGAGAAAAAAACACAGCAGTAAAATTAAAATGTGAATGAAAAAATGTTTGATCAGAGGTTTGTTGTTGCCTCCATGTTCAATGCAGTTTGCTTGGCTTCATGACGTGATATTCAGGGATGAAAATCAAAACTCTTGGTTGTGCATGTATTCTATAAATGCATTTGAATATAAAGCTGTGATAGATAGATGTTTTTTTTTTATCATGTAGACCACTTTGCAAAATTATCTAAAAACTAACAGGATAATTATAGATTAGTAGTTTAACATTTTTATCCAAAATGCTTTTATTTTTGTATACATTGTTTCTAATTAACCTCAGTTTGCTACATGACGCTTAACCCTGGAAGAAGGCTTAAATACAGTTGCTGCTCCATTGTCAGGCTTTAAAGTGTGGATCTGTGGGTGTGATTTATGGACAGACAAAGAGACGGGTGGGCGGAGAGAAAAGAAATAGACTTGTGGAATGATGGAGAGACGCAGGAACACCTGAGAGTCTCTGTGAGTGTGTTTGAGCAAAACCATTTGGCTGCACACATGTGTAATCTCTCATTGAGCTGGCATGTAAGGTGTGTTTCAGCACATGTTGCAGAGAGGGCTGAGAATGTCCCTCAATGATAATGCTCCATATTGCCCCTTAGGGAGCTAAAGTCTTAATGTGAGCTGGCCTTTAGCTCCCAACCTCCGATCAATGTCTCCGATCAATGACTACATGCATGTTAAATAATAATCACAAGGCAACTATTGATAGGCCACCACACCCCAACACACACGCCCCTACACTCACACACAAACTCAATCTGCACTGGGGATATCACCTATGTGTGCAGACTAGAGAAAAAAAGGTACTGTAGATAGTTTAACATACGTGAACACAGAATGTTTTTATCCCCACTCTATTCACGGGCCACTGTGTATTTGATACAGAAGCAATGTGTCAAACAAAAGAGGAGTAGATCTAAAGTGGTAAAAAATCTTAAGCATTAGAAATGTTCGTGGTTTCTATGGTGATGTGTCTAAGTTTGTCAGTTGATTGGGATCGGTGGATTAAATGCTCACACATACAGAGACAGTAAACTTAAATACTAAAAGTCCTTGGTAACCAAAGTACAGACTTAAACAAACAGGGTCAATGAAATGTATGAATTATTCTGAGCAGACAAAATAAATCCAACAAATGTGAACACAGCCACACACACAGATGAACACAATCACACAACCTACACAAACAACAATCAAATACACAGTGTTGGATCTATAGAGTGTAATGCATGTATCAGTATGCAGGACCAGACCGTCACTGGGTTGGATTCTATAGAAATCAATAGAAAACCAGCTTCTTCCAGTTCTCAAATGTTCTACTTTTTCCCACTGTTTCAATAAGAGGGTGGTTGTGATCATTTTGTTGCTTGAAGACATTTGGGGGAGGCATGATTACTTCTGTTAATTAATATTATACAATAAACATCAATCACAATCTGAATGCAATACAAATTTCTCTTTTGCTTGTTTTGTTTTTTCCCAATTAATCCATGTTATACTGTTCTATAATGTTTATTTATCTATTTCTGACGTCAAACATCTTCGAGCCAAATATTTAGGTGAATTTAAGTAGGGTCTCTTGTGAAATGACACATGAAACACATCCTACTGATGATCTCCCTAGTCCTTGTGATTCCTGTGTTTTTGGATGACAAAAGTTAAGCCTTAACTGACTTTAAGTTAATATGAAGTTTAATGAGTTCCACATTGTTTGTGATTAATCTTGTGTGTTTTGCTTGTAAGCTGTTGGACATGGACACTGCCTGTGCGCTGACCCGCAGTAAACTCAAAGGTAAAACAGCAGCTGTTAATGAGCACAAGCACATCAGGCTGGTAAAACACACAATTTGACATAGAAGGAACAATTTGTGTGCACACATAAATGGACGCACACACACACACACACACACACACACACACACACACACACACACACACACACACACACACACACACACACACACACACACACACACACACACACACACACACACACACACACACACACACACACACACACGTGCCCCCTGTTTCCCATGGCTAGTTTAGCTGTCTTTACATGTGGGGCACGTTTGCTAACATTTCTTAAGGCTGGGCTTCATTAATGCAGACGATTAGCATCCTGTGAATTAATTAGTGTCAGTGCCCTTCAAAATGCTAATGCTAGCATTCTGTTGTCTTGAAGAGCAGTTAGAGAGTCTGGGCAATGATGCACAGATCTTATTTGGGCGTCAGCTGTTTCAATTTCAATCAGCTAAAAGAATGACTATTTCAAACACGAGTTTCCTCATCAGTGAGATAAGCTTTGATGGATAATTACCCTCAGGATTTATCTGCAGATATTTCTTTGTATGGGGTGTGCAAAAGTGGGCTGTGAAGAGAGAAGCAACTTCCATTTTAAATCTTATTTTCTAGTTTTACAGCCATGTCATCTGCCTAGTTATAGTTTGCTCTTCACTGGATATTTTATTTATGCTTTTAAAATGATAATGGACCTACGTATGTTTAAAACACCCTGCCTCTCTGTACCTGGCCTTTCATCCCTTTCAGACCAGTAGAAGTCATTAAAGCCACACAGGCTATAAGCCACCTGTTAGTCCGAATATGAATCATAATCATCATCTTGATCATGCTCACTTCTGTCTGGTCAGGAGAACCAGCCAGCTTTTATATTTTATCAGTCAGCAATATTTAGAGACAAACAGTTACACTTACACACACATGCACACATAAATAGGCAGAGCCAAGACATTGATTGTCACACATAGCCCACAGGACGACATAGGTCAATATTTTCTACATGAGTATGACAGTAAGAACGCTATGTGTTTGAGCAAACAGTGGCTCACTTTTAGAGACACATACATGTTTGTGTGTTTACATGTGTCTGAGAAATAACATCCGCTTGTTTGAGAATAAATGTGTGTGTGCACGTTTGTTAATGTGTTGGTTTTTATGTGCGTGCAGCGGAATCAGAACAAAAGGCCCCTCCCTCCCTATTCAAAGCGCTTCCATTGCATTCTCCCATTTAAACACATTGTATTGACAGCTCCCCCCTTGTAATTAAAGAGTACTGAAGAGCTGGCCGGCTTCCAAGACAAAGTTCAAAAGACGGGTCATGGGAGGAAGAAGGTGTGTGAGTGTGAGAGGGAGTGTGTGCGCGTGTGTCAGTCAGCTGTCGATGCAGCTGGACACATCAGAGAGGGGGCTTTATCGACAGACTTTGGGTTCTAATGATTTCACCTTATTTAACAGGCATCTGAAGAGACGACTATGCTAATTGTAAAAGGATCGCCACTTTGTTTGGGGTGGGAGGGGGGCTTCAGGTTTAAGATTAATGTGTTTTTTATGGGACATTTGTTTATTTATTTATATATAATAAATTATAAGTATGTGTGCTTTAACAGGGAGAGTTGGTAGCTTTAAATGTGGTATTACAAAAAACAATGTCCCTGTATTGAGAGCATGCATTATAAGTTGTGTGTGTGTGTGTGCATCTTTGGATGTTCTGTATTGAAGTCTTTTGATGGTTCAGATTAAATGAGCCCCATGGGATCGGAGATTCCCCGGAGGTTCCTTGGCTCCACGAGTTGTGTGCTAAAAATTCAAACGTAGACAGACAGATTCGGAAACAAACATCAGCTGTAGAGAGAAGAATTCCATACCTGAGTTAGCCAAAGCGATGGCCTTGAGAGTGACAAATTCCTCCTTCTCTAGTTTCATGGTTTTGTATTTCTTGACCAGCTGAAGGATGGCGTTGTTCAGGTCCAGAAGTCCAGCAAGCTTTGACTGGTCCTCGTCCATTATGTAGTCCTCAGCATACACCAACTACAGAGAAACACAGAGGGGTTGAGAGGTTGCAAATAAACATGTGTATCTTCATAACGGGGTTTTCAATAGTGATTGTTAGAAACACACAAGAAAAAGCTCAGGACACTTGCCTTGTCTTCAAAGGACAGTGAGCGGTACACAACACGTAGGATCAAGATCTCCATCCATGCACTCTGCAATAGACTCATCTGGTCTGCCAAAGACAGCGTAGAGAAACCTGGGGAAGATTGAGACACAAAGGAAAAGGAAGGGGAGGATTGTTAATGTTTATGCTTTTAATATCTGTGTGTTTTTTTCTGTTGTTTAATGAATGTTTCTGTGCTGCTGCTGACAAAGAACTGCTGAGATGTCTTCTGATGTTTTTATAGCAATGACAATGAACAGAAAAGATTCAGAAAAAACAAGCTATACTTTTGTTTGTTGAATAAAATAAGGCTTGAAAATGGTTGTCAAATACTTTATTTTGTGTGTAAAAGAACAAAGAAAATGACATGATGGCTTTTTTGGGACAATGATTAAACAAAATTGTAGTGATACTTTTTATGACAACAATTAAGCAAGAAAAGTAAAACAAAGGAGGAACAAAGATCACGAAAAAGATCATGAAGCTAATTCTTAACTAGACAGGGGGTCAAGATCAGCCCCCCCCCCCTCCCTCCATCCATACAGTTGATCAGAGTCCTCCTCCTCCTCCTCTTCCTCTCTCCCCTGTGCCCAGGGCCGTTCTCTTGGGAAAGGCAGGCCTTATCTCCCCCTGACACAACCTCCATGGATCAATGCTGGCCATCGCTGCTGCACCGCTCAAACACACACACTAATTGCTGCTGTGGCCTCAAAACGCCTGCTTTCTCTGGTGTCAATCCATGTCCTTCTATTTGCCTACGTCTATATCCGTCTGTCTCTCCAATCGCAATCCATGCCTTTTTATCTGACACTGTCTGTGCATGGCTGACCATCTGTGGGCCTGATTCTGGCTTTACCTGCTTTCCATACATCTTGATACATTGTTGTCTGCAAACCTTGTCTGTTTAGATCTCTCTGTTAGACTTTTCTTTGCTTTACATTGTTCGGTGTTCAGTTCAGTTTTTTTGTTGAGTTTTTGTCTGTTTTAATAGTTTCAATTATGTGCGGTCTCCTTTCTCTTCAGTCTTATTCTTTTCCATTTCATCTTTTGCACATTTTTTTCTTTACTGCAGCAGACTGTCTGTTGCCTCGGTCTTTCTCTCTCTCTCTTTCTGTCTGTCTGTCTGTCTATCTCTTTAATGGAACACCTGCCCGCTCACACCTTTCCTCACAGCTGTCCTCTCCTAACACACCTGTCCGTTCACACCTGCCTGTCTGCCTGTGTGTGTGCAAGCCTTTATAGGAAAGGCAAAGACAGTGGCCTATGTGAGCACACCTGTCAGACCTCACAGCAGCCCTCCAGTGTGTGTGTGTGTGTGTGTATATGAGAGGAGCATCCTGTCAGGAGAAGTAGGCAGATGAGAAGGAAGATATTTCTTCAACAACATCTGCTGCAGGGTGCCTCCTCAGGAGATAGTTGGTGTGTGACAGTGTGTGTGTTTGTGTTTGTGCATATGCATTAGGGGATCTTATCTCACAGTGTGTTGATGGGTAATGGCAGGCGTCTCATTATGTCCATGTTGCAGGCCATTGTTGTTCATAATGTGCTCTAATTCACTCCATCTACAACTAATAATATTAATATCTCAAACCACACACACACTTACAATATATACAGTAGGTGACACTGTGGGCTGCACACACACAAATGCACAGGGTTTGACATATGCATAGACATAAATGCATAGGAACACACTGGAATGAATCCAAATATGTATGATTGATACACACACACAAACACACGCACGCACAGACTCACACACGGCACAGTGAAGGGAGCAGTATCGTTGCCAACTGGCAGTGTCTTCTACTTAATGAAATCATCAGAAGAGATTAGAGGTGAATTTCTTGAGGGGGTCTTCATGCACACACACATCTCATTCTCACACGCAGAAGTCTTTAGGGGGGCCTTAAGACTTCGCCACTCATTGTGGGCAGGAGAAATAAGCACGGGCATGGCTAAATTTAACACACTTTAACACACTTATTGAATGTGTTTGAAGCCCGGGGTCAAGTGAAGAGAAGAAGACATGAGGTGGGTTAATATCATTTAATGGTGTCACTGATTATGCATTTTAACTTGCCCCTGTGTGTTTGCACTACTCGGGCATTGAGAGCAGTGCAGAGGGTTCAATCAATTTTCGCACATACCTTTAGTGAAATTTGGTCCAGAAGGTGCATACACGGCAAAACAAATTTATACACTGCGAGTTACAGAATCATAAAAACATAAAAAGTGTGAACTAGTTTAAAAAAACTGTGTGTTAATAGGAGGGTGTACTCACATGTTTCATCAGTAAACATCTACCTTTTCATGACATGCACACACACACATGCATGAACACACACAGAGGCAACACCAATAATTAAAAACCCCTGTGATTAATTTATTGAGCTGAAGGTTCAACTTTTCTTATTGAGGTTCATCAATGATTTTTATCAGGATGTGGTGTGTGTTTGAGTGAACATGTGTCTGCTTATATAGCTTATTTGAACACTAATAAGATCATTGTAGCGAGTGTGTTGACTTGTTGTTTCATCAGCATGCTTGTACTGTATGCTTAGTGTATGCATACATTCCCATACATACACACCATGGGCATCTCCTATCTGTGTATATTTGTGTGTGATTGTGTATGTGTATTTGTGCCTCCAGGACCCCCTCCCCTCCTCACCAGCCTGTCTGCGCTGTTCAGCCATCCAATGCCTCTTATCTGTCTGATTAATAGGCGGCCAGCTTCAGGACAAATTAATTAACAGATAACGCCATCTCTCTCTTCTTCCCCTCCTCCCCTCCTTCTCATGAAGCGATCGATACAGCAGAAGAAAAGAAACATCAATGGGAATTTAGTGCTGATGATGGAGAGAGAGAGGTATTGATGGAGAGAGAGAGAGCACGAGAAAGAGTGAGATGGAGGAGAGAAGAAAGTAAAGGAGGAAGAGGTGGTGGTGGAGGGACTGATGGAGACCTTTCTTTCATACCTGTGATTTCACTTGACAAAAGAAGGTTCCTTATTTGGCTCTAATTACATTTCCTTTCTGCCCATTGTTGATAAGGCATCTCACGCTATGTGTGGCAGTGTGTGTGTGTTTGTGCATATGTGGATGTGGAACAACTGGTGTGCTGTTTGTGGGGGTGTTGGGGGCTTAGCCTTATGTAGAGGCATGTTCAGTAAAAATAAAGTTCAAAGCTTTGCATAAACATATTTACATAAATGTTGAGCGAGAGTAAATTGCTACATCACATGACCTGAAAGTAAAGCCATGCGTTCCCATGAAAGCATTATAGCATTAATGGTCATGTATTTGGTAAGAACATCATTTAGTTTAGAGTTTTTTCAATGGTTACAATCCTCACTTTTCAATGTATCTCAACGTTAACTCAAACCCTGCATATGGTATACCATACATTCAATGTATTATAATTCCATAAGATGAGACAGAAATCAAACTTTTCTTTCCCAACTAATAGTCCTTTATGTGAACAAAGCAAAATTTTGAGATGTAGTGCATGAGGTGAATGACCCATACTCTGTACCTGGTTGGATATTATATATCTCTATTGTATCAATTGAGGTACTGTGTGGGTGTGTGTGTGTGTGTGTGTGTGTGTGTGTGTGTGTGTGTGTGTGTGTGTGTGTCTGTGTGCGCGGGTGCCACACATTGGTCTGACAGAAAGAGGCTGCAGTGCAGTCATGCAGACTTAACCTCTCCTGCTTGCTCTCGCACTCTTTCTTTTTTCTCTCCCCTTTGCTCTATCAGAGACACACATAAAGACAAACGCACACACACAAACACACGTCGATTCCCCAGCCACCCTGCGGCCTGTTTGTCTGCCAAATGAGTCCTGACTGCACGTTTACACCCGAGACCGCACAAGAGTCTGGCACAAACACACACAAACAGGATAGCCCTCTCTCACGCCCCAGTTGCCATACAGACACACACAAACAAACATATCCAGGAGGCCTATATTTGTTTTCTTGTGGTTACAGGGCAAATAGGAACCAGTGAGGAGCGTTTGTGATGCTCATGAGTACCTGTGCACTTGTGTGTGCACAGTTTGTGTTTTTTCATGAAGTTATTTTTATATGCAAGTTCAAAATAACTGATGCATCAGTGTGTTCATTTGTGTATTAATGTGACAGGTGGGAAAACTGGTTGCAATGCTGATCTGGTCCATGTTATCAACACATGAGTAGTCTTCCCATTCTGCCACTGCAGTGACAAACAGTGGCCAACAAGCTTAACTCTAAGAGTGAGGACTTTGGCCCTCTGTCTCATATTGAGAGAGTCTTTAAATGCCAGCAAACATACAGCAAAACATCTCTTTCATAATTTACAGTATGCATGTCAGTAGCTTGGGGTTAGAGGGGTTCTAATGTGGTCATTGTGAGATACTAATATGCATTTTTTCACAAATTACTGAATTTTTCAAATGTTACTAAAGACAGAGATGACACGCAAGAGACGTCCTTGAAGACATAGAAGATGAAATTGATCCAGGAAGATTTGTTACACAATTTAAAAACTAATATTAGTGATTAAAGAGGTTTTAACTGTTGCCTCTCTTTATTCAAGCTGAATGGCTTGTGGTGGTGGGGTTGTAGAAAATGTATGGTTGGTATTACACATCATGAGGTTTAAGTCAACAATTAACAAATATTTGACAGGCAGTTCCATGTGTCTCCTCAGTCTTCTTCTGCTCCCTTAAACAGATGTAGACAAACTTGGCTGTAGATGACTCTGAGCTGTTCTATAACAATCATTTCCTTTCACAGACTACTGAATACAATTAGGTTAAGGACACCAAAACAACACATTTAGATATGGTGTTCTATCTCCACACTTGTAGTTGGCTTGCAGCCTTTGAGCACCTGCTTGCTTTGTTACCATTGACACTGCTCTGTCCTATTTGCCTGCCACCCCTGGACACATTTAATAGTAACTTCTCAATCTGTCGCAACAATTTAACAGCATACATTCACACACTTATCAAGAGGAATCTGTCTTGAAGTGGTAAGAATTTGCTTTAAGCACTGTCAAAGAAATGTAACACAGAGTCAAACTGAATTCACACTAAGACATTGAGAG